TGAGGTGATGTAAAAAGACAATAATAACAGTGAGTAGGAGGTGAAGATGGAGGAAGAGGCAAAGGAGGGGGCAGAAGAGACAGAAGAAAAAGAAGAAAAAGAAGAAGAAGAAGAAGAAGAAGGCAAAGGAGATGGCAGAGGATGAGATAGAAGAGGAAGAGGAGCAAAAGTGAAAAAATAAGAGGAAGATAACAGTAATGATGACAGATGATTATTTGATGTCATTATTTTGGTTGTTGAAATATTATTACACAAAATCAAATAATTACCCACAACAATTCTCCACAGGAAATTAGATATTTTCAACATGAAAGAATATTTTACACTATACATTCTTACTAGTCACAGCATTTCCTATATTGATCTTTTTCAATGACTTGACTTTCCTCTCTTTCTACAAGAGACTCAAAAATGAATCCAGAAAAAAAATTTATAACGCAAAAACAGCATTCAGGAATCTCTTATACTGCATGGTTCCCTTTCTTTATGACTTTTATTCTACTGAGTGTTCATTGTTATGCAGAAACCACCTATTGTTCTTTGACTTGCGAATAACAGCACAAGGTCAACTTCAATGGAAATAAAAATGGGTGTATTATCATATATCATAAAAGTCATTATTTTAAATACAATCTGTACAATAAGGTAAGAGAGAGAGAGAGAGAGAGAGAGAAAAAAAAAAAAAAACAAAGAAAAAAATATATAAAGGAAGAAAAAACACAATTAACAATTTAAGAGAAACATTAACAAGGAAAAGGATGTGGATGAATAGAAGAAACAGGAACAAAAGAAGAGAGAAGAGAAGTAGAATGATTGGAACATCATGAGAAAATTTAATGACAATAACAATAATAATATTAACAAAGACACCAACAATAACAATAATGATAATATTAATACCAACTCTACAACATCTACAATAACCACAACAGCAATAACAAAAATAATAGTAAAAATAATAATAACAATAATAACATAATAATAATAATTATTATTATTATTATTATTACTATTATCATTACCATTATCATTATAATATAATAACAATAGTGGTAATGTTAATAGTAATTGTAATGGTAATAATGATAACAGTAACTGAAATATCAAGAGTAATAGTAGCAGTGTTAATAATATCAATAATAATGATGATAATAAAAAATTAATAATAATAAAAAAAATCATCATCACCATACCAATTACAAAAAAATCTATCATAATAAATAATTATAACAATAATAATAATAATAACAATAATAGTAATAACAATAATAATAATAATAATAATAATAATAATAAAACAATAACAATAATAAAAATAATGATAATAATAAAAACTAAAAGCAAATAAGACAAAAATAAAGATAATGACATGAAAAATAAATATAAAGATAACAAAAAAAAACATCAATCATAATAATAATAATAATAATAACAAGGATTGAAAATAATGGCAATCATCATCAAGACAAACAGAAATAGCTTTCCTACTGTAGAAGGATCAACAATGTAATATTATCTTCAATGCGAATTCCTCCTCTGAGAGACAGCATTGTAGTTTGTTAAATAATGAAGGCATTGATAATCTCATGTTTTGCTATGCAACTTGATTACTGTTGCACAAATAACAAAAAAACAAAAAACAGATATGCTTAAAGAGAGTTACATGTCTATAAATCTAGTTCTGAGATCAAGTAATTACTTAATTTGGACATATAATTTCATGGCTTCACACAACGACCAACTGTAAAATTTATGGCTGTTTTATTAATTCAATGTTAAGTCTTGAATTATATCTTGAATGTATTTATATAAGATTAAACATGTGGGATCTTGGTTGGTAATAAAAGAAAAATCACATCTTTACAATCTCCCTATCATACAAATGTAATATGATCCTTTTTAAGATGCATTTTACTGTTAGCCTGGATGAATTCCACATGAAATTAATGATGGAAATGTGCTGAAAATAAAGTTCTAATACCTTATACATATATAAAATTCCCTGTGCTGGTATACTATGGTCTGTTTGAGTGTAAACTAACCCTGTACAAGAAGTTAAAGTCTATACCAAAGCTCTTATAGTTTAAATACACAAAACATACCCTGCAAGTATGAATCCGTTTTTAATATTTCTAATAACAATGCATTTACACCAAAATATAGGCCTATTGCATTCACACATAAATACTTATTATCTAAATTACATCCCCTCAATATGCCTAAATTTCAATGCCAAACACTTCCTGAACCCCAATTTAGAGAACTCTCTCTAGACTAATTAAAATTCATGTTCAATTAACTAAATTACACACCTATCTCTGCTAAACCTATGGAACTACAGGCATCTCCTTCTGTCCTTACAGAACCAAATAAAACTCAAACCAAACCAAATAAAACTCAAACCAAACCAAATAAAACTCAAACCAAATCAAACTCAAACCAAATAAAACTCAAACCATATAAAGGTCACCTCACTTTTTCAGGGAAATCCTAACATGTGGGTTCATTTAGAAAACATACATATTAATTCATACATTCATTCTCAACATACTTACCACTCAACCATAAAACGCTGACTACGGTTTTAATGTATCAGAGATTTTGTCTTACCTAAAGTATATATATATTTTTTTATGTGTCCTCGTATTTAGTGTATAGAAGGAGCGGCAAGACGGTGTCCGCGTGTACTCTCGCCATCAGCTGATCCATGTAAACAAAGAAACAAATGCCGGCCGCAATCCGCAATGCGAAATATAAAACTATGTAAAAAGTTAAATAAAATGTCATTTGTCTTATTAATTGCTTATTTGCTGCTTATATAAACTTATTCGTTTTCATCACTTTATGGAAAAAAAAAATTATCGTTTGGTCTATTTTGGCACTGGTGAGAAACATAATATTTCTCATTTCATATCGGCAAACATTCACGTATTACAAATTCACCTCGAAATTTAGTACAGAGTAACGAAATCAAATTTATTATTATTATTTTTTTCACAATAAACAAACAAACAAAAAAGATGACGAAAAGACGCCAGCCGCTTCATGGCCGTCAGGAGAACACCCACCGGCAATAGAAACGTGAGGATGAACGTTTTTTTACAGTCCAAAGAGGTCAAGGATCTCCGTGAAGAATTCCAGACATGGCAAAAGGTATGTGGTAATTGATGCATGTGGTTAAGTAACATGTAAACAACGAAGAGGAAAAGGAAAAGATAATAATATCAATCTTCGGCGCTGCCTAAACTGAAGGCGATCAAAGTGCCGGTGTATGGCAATTATTTTTATATGGAAGCGACAGTCCTTCTATGTATTTCAGGTCCTGACTATTTTATTATCACTGTATTAATATAGTGTGGCTAGAAGTTAGAGGTGTGAAAGGCAGGAGAGAATATGAAATGTTTTTTTTGTTTTTTTTTACGATCCTAAAGTGGAGATCATGGAATAATTCAAAAGATTAAACCTAATAGAAACAATAGAACGCTAAATGCACACAAAAACAATCCTATTATTCTTTTAGGAGTTTAAATGAGTATATTTATCATACTGACCTCCCTCGAGATTGCCAAATATAGGGGCAGATATTTAATATACGAGAGACTAAGACATTATCACATGCGGGGCACTTGGCAGTCCAAGTTCGTTCGTTCACAATATTTTTTTTTTCCATTGTTTTACAAGGACAAAGCTATTTTAGCAACTGATATATATGAAAATCAGATGAATTCACTACAAAGTAAATTTCAATTGTTAAATCAACATTGGGTATCTCGAAATTGCATATCAATGACCCCGAACGTGTACTTCAGCTTTCAAATAGTATCTTGCTGTGCAACACCCATGCAGGCAGCCCACATGTTAGTGCAATTTCCCTTAATGATGGGGAAACGAGGCCGAGGCATCTGCACGTGTTTCCAGCGGCCTGAAAGCGAGGGAGGGAGGGAGGGAGGGACTTCAGCAGGGAGCTTCAACAGGGGGACTTCAGCAGGTGATGAAGCGGCACCGAAGTTTATCTGCTGAAGTAAATCATTCGGATTTGTCATAGCGTGTGTACCCAGGGCGTCCGACGGGATGAGAGAACAACAAGTCCTTAAGAGGTGATCAATACTTCATTTGTGTTTTCATTTAGGATAATGGGATTCTCTGGTTCAAACCAGTTCTTGCCTGAAGGAGCCTGTAGCCGAAAGGCGCTGACAGGGGGGAGGGAGAGAGGGGACGGGAGGGAGGGAAGAAAGAAAGAGAGGGATGGAGGGAGGAGGGAAGGAGGGAGGCAGGCGGAGGACGGCGCCCTTACCTTATCCCAGTCGCTACAGC